ACTGTAACCAGACATACATTGTATACTGACTGTAACCAGACATACATTGTATATATACTGACTGTAACCAGACATACATTGTATATATACTGGCTGTAACCAGACATACATTATATTTATACTGACTGTAACCAGACATACATTGTATCTACTGACTGTAACCAGACATACATTGTATCTATACTGACTGTAACCAGACATACATTGTATCTACTGACTGTAACCAGACATACATTGTATTTATACTGGCTGTAACCAGACATACATTGTATTGATACTGGCTGTAACCAGACATACATTGTATATATACTGACTGTAACCAGACATACATTGTGTCTATACTGACTGTAGCCAGACATACATATATATATACTGACTGTAACCAGACATACCTTGTATCTATACTTGCTGTAACCAGACATACATTGTATATATACTGACTGTAACCAGACATACATTGTGTCTATACTGACTGTAACCAGACAAACATTGTGTCTATACTGACTGTAACCAGACATACATATATATATATATTGACTGTAACCAGACATACATTGTATCTATACTGACTGTAACCAGACATACATATATATATATTGACTGTAACCAGACATACATTGTATCTATACTGGCTGTAACCAGACATACATTGTATCTATACTGGCTGTAACCAGACATACATTGTATATATACTGACTGTAACCAGACATACATTGTGTCTATACTGACTGTAACCAGACATACATTGTATATATACTGACTGTAACCAGACACACATTGTATATATACTGTCTGTAACCAGACATACCTTTTATCTATACTGTCTGTAACCAGACATACATTGTATATATACTGTCTGTAACCAGACATACATTGTATATATACTGACTGTAACCAGACATACCTTGTATCTATACTGTCTGTAACCAGACATACATTGTATATATACTGTCTGTAACCAGACATACATTGTATATATACTGACTGTAACCAGACATACCTTGTATCTATACTGTCTCTAACCAGACATACATTGTATTTATACTGACTGTAACCAGACATACATTGTATATATACTGTCTGTAACCAGACATACATTATATATATATATATATATATATATATATATATATACTGACTGTAACCAGACATACATTGTATTTATACTGGCTGTAACCAGACATGCATTGTATCTACTGACTGTAACCAGGCATACTTTGTATCTATACTGTCTGTAACCAGACATACATTATATATATACTGACTGTAACCAGACATACATTGTATTTACTGTCTGTAACTGGTCACATATTGTGTCTGCTTTCTGTTATAAGTTATAGACATGTACAATGTATTTGCTATTTGCAGTTGGCCAATGTATATGACAGAGACAGTAAGACAGCAAGCACACTACCAGCAATGCTTTATTTAGACGTTAATTAAAAAGGTGACTTTGAAGACACAGCATGTCATTGAGTCTGACATAATTCATGTTTTATTCACGGTAGATATCATGACATGTAAGTACAAAACACTTTAGGTATACATGTTAGATAGAACAGGAAACAAGCTTGTGGTTTATATTTACCCTTGTTTCTAATAGTTTACCTTATAAATGAGACAAAAGATTTTGGTTGTAGTGGGGGTCGGGTTAAAAAACACTTACAGGGTGTAACTGGTTTAAGTTTGAGATTTGTTTTCTGCCTGTAAGTATGTGTAATTGAAGTGACTTTTCCTCAAGTACTACAACTGCAGTTTTTTCCAACATATACTTAGAACTTGAGCTCTAAATCGAGAGGGAGGAGAGTGAAATCAAGGTGAAGCACTCAAAATTGGGCCATACGTTTTGACATGGACCAGTCCAAAGTTAGTATTATAACATGGTCCACTCCAAAGTTAGTATTATAACATGGACCAGTCCAAAGTTAATAATATAACATGAACCAGTCCAAAGTTAGTATTATAACATGGTCCAGTCCAAAGTTAATATATGACATGGACCAGTCCAAAGTTAATGATATAACATGGACCAGTCCAAAGTTAATGATATAACATGGTCCAGTCCAAAGTTAATGATATAACATGGACCAGTCCAAAGTTAATAATATGACATGGTCCAGTCCAAAGTTAATGATATAACATTGACCAGTCCAAAGTTAATAATATGACATGGACCAGTCCAAAGTTAATGATATAACATGGTCCAGTCCAAAGTTAATGATATAACATGGACCAGTCCAAAGTTAATAATATGACATGGTCCAGTCCAAAGTTAATGATATAACATGGTCCAGTCCAAAGTTAATGATATAACATGGACCAGTCCAAAGTTAATAATATGACATGGTCCAGTCCAAAGTTAATGATATAACATGGACCAGTCCAAAGTTAATAATATAACATGGTCCAGTCCAAAGTTAATAATATGACATGGTCCAGTCCAAAGTTAATGATATAACATGGACCAGTCCAAAGTTAATAATATGACATGGTCCAGTCCAAAGTTAATGATATAACATTGACCAGTCCAAAGTTAATAATATGACATGGACCAGTCCAAAGTTAATGATATAACATGGTCCAGTCCAAAGTTAATGATATAACATGGACCAGTCCAAAGTTAATAATATAACATGGTCCAGTCCAAAGTTAATGATATAACATGGACCAGTCCAAAGTTAATGATATAACATGGACCAGTCCAAAGTTAATAATATAACATGGTCCAGTCCAAAGTTAATGATATAACAGGACCCAGTCTGAAATATCTATGTCCTGAAGCTTTTGTTTTCTTTTCAGTCCCTCATCGCTTTAACATTTTAAACAATAGGTTTCCATTGAAACTAGGTGGAACAGTACACCTCTATTATTGTATTTATAAAGGAACGTGCTTGACAACCATTGGTACAAATCTTGAATTTCTCCAGTGTGAGGAGTTCATTCAGGGGTGGTGGGGGACACTGGGTTTTCTACCAAAAAAATGATACCAATGATGAACTATTTTTTATGAGCTTTTCACTTTTATATCACCTTTGATGTTACTGTAAACTTTATTTATCAAAAAAAGTGTTTCTTTGTCTTGAATGTCATTTTCCAGGTGTAACTTAAATGTCAGCTTAGCTAAAATGTCATTAAAGTTGAAACAAAATGAGTCAAAGTGAATGTTACCTCAGTGTTAGTCTATGTATATACATACATGTGAGCCATCTTGGTTTAGCGTTTCATAACACTTGTGTTCTGGTATATGTGTGTAATGGGATTTCCATGCAGAAATAAACATATTAAAAGTAAGCACTCCAAATTGGAATTGAAACCAAAGTCAATTGTTGAATTTTAATTGAAATTCAGCATTTTAGAATTATTGGGTTGGGAATCTTACAAATATACAAAAGTGAAAATGAAACTGGTACACATGTAATTACTTTTGCTGGCAATTTATACTGAAAATGTCGGGTGTCACATGATGCATTTTAAAATCATAAATCATTTTACTTGAATTTTAAATATTAGAACTACATCTCAGTTGAAAATTGTTCAATGTCGATACAGACACCAGAACTGTAATCTAAGGAAAAGAAGACAACAATCACTTGAATGAGTCAGGTGACAGTTTTTGTACCACTTGTTATAGACACGAGTGTTAGGTATGTTGACTTCAGGCGTAATTGTGTTACAAGAAATGTTGATTGGGAAAGTTCAGCGTATAAGGAAAGGATATATTTTCAAACAATATATCTTATGAAGCAAAATCAAAGAAAAAAATAGTTTCTGAAATTATTTGGTGTATGCACAAGCTAGATATTTGTAGAGTATGGATGTATTGATTGTTAAATATATATCTGTACCGTAGTTTACACAATAGGGTATATTTAGAGCCTGTGAAAAAGCTGTTTACTGCACTGCTCTGCCAATACAGTACATGGTAGTTATATCATTCTTTTCCTCCTGGCCATGACAACTTGTAAAAATCATTTGTGAACTATATAATTTTAGGGACTCAAAACACATCGTCCATTAACACATTTAGCATAAAATATTTAATGTCATGGAATAGAACATAGAGTTGTTACCAAGGAAATAGGGAATTAAAGGAATTGTAGATACCATGTGATGATAAAATGGGCTATTGCTGAAGCAGGTAGCCTCCAGCCTCTGGCCAGCTGGTGAAGTAATGTCAGAACAGACAAAATTAAAAAATAGGGGAAAAAATAAAAAAAAAAAAAAAAAATCAACCAATGAGGATTCACAAAAGAAACTTTTTGCCGTAAACAGTTTAACAACAAAATGAGATTTCAACGTGCCAGAGTAAATATTTCCAATGTTATGGCAGTTCTCCGCAGATGGATTCCTTTAAAGTCCAAAGTAATCCACACAAGTAGAAGGTAGATATGATTGAACAACATCCTGTCATTTCTACTATGAGCTGTAAATAGTTTTATTCTGCACAAACCCACTTGTATGTATATGTAATTAAGACAAGAATATACGCCTTATCTAAATATCAGTATGCATGAAAATTCTGCCTGTTGAAGTACAGGTAAATGCTTCAGGTATGAATATTGCTTATCATTGTAGCTATAGCTAACACAGGCCCAGTACATGTAGAGACAATGTGTGTTGACCGATTTCTGTACACAGTGCCTTGTTGTATTGAAATGGTATAGTAATTAATTTGACTTAACTGTTGAATGGTGCTTACAGCTGCGTGGATAATTTACTTAGTTTCTCTTTTAAACTAATGTACTGCTGGAAATTGGTCGCTTGAATTCCTGGTACAAGCGAGATGGATATGCTAAGCTATCCATGAGGCAGCGAGCTGTACTACAACTCCATGTGTTAAGGCTGAAATTGATTTTTAGCTCAATACTGTTACACTGACACTATACTGGGGTTCAAAATTGAAAACAAATTTTCGAAAGAACCTATTCCATTTTTTTAGAACTAATTATCAGAATTCAACGGATGGTAATTAAAAGTGTTGTTGTCTTTTATTTTTTCAGATTGACGTCTAACCAGTAGATAAATAGTTGACCTGGTTTTTCTGGTGGATTTACTGTATCTAGGCTTCATCTCCATCGTCACCATGAGCTGCTGTGCCGGAATAGCCAGGGCGCTGCTCATCATCTTCAACATTGTCTTCTGGGTAAACACAACAGAATACACTGATCGATGCTCTGACACACTGATATGTACATTTGCTACACTTAAGGGTGTACACAACCATACTATTAACTCTCTACCTATAAAAGAGTTCCACATGGTTTACTGAAGAACTGGATTGTCATTTCTAAATGGTGATTTTGTCATTGCCTTGGGTTTAATTATAATTGATGACTCATGGTTAAAAGATGATCAGAATGCTTGCATTGATAACAGTCTAAGAGATAAATAATTAAAAAATTCCAAAGGTTGATAACTCTAGCCAACTTTTGCTTGTGACAGGTAGAATTACTGTTCAATACATACATATAGATTAGGTAAAGAATTAATTTGATTACATGTTTAACACAGTTTAGTCAAAAGACAAATAACAGTTCTTTTGAAAGTTAAAAATCTGAAGTATGCCACAATTTTAGAGTAGCTGACAATCATAATTATATTACATCGCCCAGTTTGTCAGTGTATATTCTGTCCGTTAAAAATGATAAGATTTATAATTTATAAGAAAAAACTTGCTTTTCAAAAAAACTGATGACTGTTAATAATTTGTAACTCGAAAGATGTGACTACACACTGTTTCTACTGTTACCTGTAGTATTGTGTGAGATACACATCCTGTTGTATATATACCTCCTCAGGTAGATTTATCTTGAATACCACTACAGGCAATTAATTCACTGTACCAAGTAACCCTCTAGTAATTCCTGAAACAGTTGCGAAGAACACATCAACAGCTATATTCTCAACCTGAACACCTAAGAAGTATTTTTGAAATATTGGTGTGGAGGGGCTTAATAATTCATCTGTCTGATGTTGTTATACTGAGAATTCCTGAGATTTCCAGTATTGACTTCAGGTCTGGAAAGATTTTATTCATAGTAGAAGCATGATTTATGTAAAATGTTACAACAGCCATCAACAAACCAAGTTCCAAATTTCAGATAAATGAAAACCTGATGTTTGCCAGTTGGCGTGATCTGTAGGCTCGAGTGAGATTTTCTAGCTATTGAATCGCGTATGTAGATGTAGTGGTGATTGTCTAGCCTTGACATTTTCAGTTATATAACTTATGCCATATTTTTGCCATTTGTGAGCCATATTTAGACAGGAATTGAAAAGTCACAGGAAAATTCATATACTGTGAGCGTTTTTATGAAGTTTTATTTTTATACACTGAAGATAAAATGACTTCTGACTATCTAAATCACCTATATTTTTCGGATCTTACAATGATAATTTCAAAGATTATGAGAAATTACTTAGAAATGATAATGAGGGATATTGCAAACTGTTTACTACAATGATGTGTGTGTTGATTTTGGGTTGATTCATCCTTTCTCTCCATATCACTTACATTGATGGTAGAAGGTGCCAGGTTTCCGTGTAGATTTGTAAGGGAGATATACATACTGTCTTCAACTCATTAAGGGTACATGCTCCTATAAACGCCCTTCCCCAATCTACAGGCTCCTAACACAACATTCTGGTCAGATTTTGTCCTTGTCATAGTGATTCCATTCGACCATATTTGGTTTCCCACCTGCAGAAGAATACTATCAATTACCTTTAGTAATTATAAATTTACAACAAAAATTTTACTGCTACCCTTATATGAAAAATTGAACTGTATCTGTCTTGAAAAGTTCTGGTCTCATGAAAAATAATTCAATTTTAAGTCACCTTTCAGTTTAACCCTTTCGGTGCCGTAGGCGACTTAAGTTGACATGCAGACAGGCCGCCGTAGGCGACTTCAGTCGACAATTTTTGCCATTGTTTTCGGATATTTTCCGGAAAATATTTGGCGCTGAGCTGTACATTGTGAGAAATATTTGGCGCCAAAAGGGTTAAGTTCTTTTAAAGATCCCTGGTTGCTTAATGGGTTAAGTATAGTATACATATGTGGTGGCCTTATTATCCTTGACAGTGTCTAGGTAATAGGACTAATTGGGGCTGATAACTTCACGAAGTACAAGATTCATGTTGGTATTTGTATTTTTATTAAACAATGTTTGCACTCTTAATATATACAACATTTATTGATGAATGTTGACATAATGAAATATATTTTACAATCCTCTGACAATTAAAAAGAAATACAGTTATTAGTCAAAATTATTATCAAGTCTGTTCACACAGTTACATGATGACTTGATGACTCTTGTGAATTTGTCATCTCATCAGGGATTGTCTTGTAAGTTATTTTCTGTTATCAGAAATAGTTCCTCACAGTTCTTATCATCGCTAATCCAAATAATATAAAAATGGAGTCATTTTTTCAGAGCTTGTGATGTCAGCTCTCTTTGAATTTTTTTCCCTTCGTGTCAGACACCATAATGAAGATAGAAACTGCCCCTACCAGTTAGTTTATTTATGGCTGTGGTTAGTCGTAAGACCAGTTTAGGAATCTCCGTGGTAATTGTCTGATCAGTTTACCACAATCCGTGAGTCTTCTTTTGTCTTCCCCTATTTACACTGGGTTACAGAAAATCTCTGTTAGTCTGTTGTTACAGGATAGTCTCAGATCTTGTAATACAAAGAAATTATATTGAATTGTTCTGGTCACCACAGCCTGTCCTCAAACCATACAAAATATCCATGGTCTGTAAATAAGTACCATATTTATCCTCAAATAGCCCCCACTCCTGGTGCAAAAGTACCATATTTATTCTCAAATAAGCCCCTCTCCTGGTGCAAAAGTACCATATTTATCCTCAAATAGCCCCCTCTCTTGGTATATAAGTACCATATTTGTCCTCAAATAAGCCCCTCTCCTGGTGAAAAAGTACCATATTTTTCCTCAAATAGCCCCCTCTCTTGGTGCAAAAGTACCATATTTATTCTCATATAAGCCCCTCTCCTGGTGCAAAGGTACCATATTTATTCTCATATAAGCCCATCTCATGGTGCAAAAGTACCATATTTATTCTCAAATAGCCCCTCTCTTGGTGCAAAAGTACCATATTTTTCCTCAAATAAGCCCTTCTCCTGGTGCAAAAGTGCCATATTTATCCTCAAATAGCCCCCTTTCCTGGTGCAAAAGTACCATGTTTATTCTCAAATAGCCCCCTCTCCTGGTGTAAAACTACCACATATATCTCAAATAAGCCCCTCCCCAGGTGCAAAAATCTAATATTAAAGTTCAGGGAGGTCATTTTTGTGGACTACTTTTTAGCTTACTTCTGCCCTGTATATAAAGTTGATGATTCTGATAAATAAAGTAGAGATAGAGGCTTATTTGTAGACAGAGGACTGTATCAATATTTGTTGATAAAAATGATTTCTCAAAATTTCTCTTGACTCCTGCACATTTTTGGCAAAAAAAGCATTACTGTTCTGGCCCACAGGGAATGTAACTTATATTGAAACTTCGCCTTTCTTCCTCAAACTGGTAGTGGTAATTATTAATATAAGGATTTGTGGAAAAGTGAGATTTTCAAGTTACTATAATACACTGTTCCTGTATACACTAATTAATTAGACCATAATTATATTGTATAGATGATTAATTTCTGTTTAGAATTTCTGTTTAGATGTTCATAAGAATTCTTAATTTCTAAAGACACATTATCGAGTAAACATTTTAAAACAATTTTTTATTTGTAAAAGAAAATTTAAAAAAGATCTGTAATTCTACATAATTTCTCACAAACTGCTCAAGGAAATATGACAAAGAATGCCATAGAATCATGTTGTGCAATTAATTTCACTTTCAAACTTTAATTGAAAATTAATGTAGGGAAATTGCATATGTTCATTATGTACTACTTATTTGCGAATACATGATTTTGTTGGTACCAATTTCACATGTGAAACTGGTCACGAATAAATGTAAAAAAAAAAAAAAATAAGCTGTTTACAGAATTTCTTTTTAACTAACTGATAACACAACATTGTTTATACTGTTCTTTCTTGTTGAAAAAATTTATGTTTGAAATAATGGACGATTTAGAAGATCCTACTGTGTAAAATGCAAGTGCTGAAATGTAGGAATCTCTCTCCTAATATAGAGGGTTGACTGGTATACAGCACATTGGCTGTGGGTAGATCAGAGAGTTGATGACTCTGATACAAGCTTTGGTAGAATGCCATTTGTACCTGACAGGCGTCATTACTTTTTCCACAGAAAGTGTAAAGGTCAATTGAGAAACAGCACTGTATATATGAACAGATGCTAACAGGAAGTTAGGCTGTCTCCTATGTGTCTCTGGATCTGTCAGTGACAAATGTCTGTAACATAGGTATAAAGGTCACTATGGACCTCAGGAAATCCAGGGATAGGAATTTAATAAAGATTGTTGGTAGATCCTAGGATAGACATAACACGATATGTTATCTCTTCTCTCTTGTTACTGACAGGTGTTTAAATGTTGTATTAAATGGAGACTGTAATCGGAGATATTGTAAACATTGATATCAGTATAAACATGCATTTCACAAATGAAAAAAAAAAATCTGTCCGTCGTTTCCTTAGTAGTATTTTTTCTTCCGTTTTTTTTTTCAATCAAACAAAATATTCCTGCTTTCACTAATACAAATCAAATCCTACTGCATTGCAATGAATTGCATAACAGATTGTTGACATATATATATATATATATATATATACAAAATTCAAATTAATGTAGAAGTCGCTTTAAAATATCATTTCCCCTATACCTTTAAGACTGAATGGTTTTCAGTGTCCCAACCCACCAGCTGTAGGGCACTGAAGTTTCAGCAGCTACATAATATAAATGAAGCTCTCGGTAAATTCCAGACATATTAGTCAATACGGAGATGAAAATAGCGTTGCAATATTGCCAATATTTTGTTTTCTTCCTATTGACAACTCTTTACAACTTACACCCTATATTTCTGTGTATACTGGTACGTTCCTATAAACTCGCCTCTATCTGAAATAGTAGTCACATATTTATATACACAACAATATCAGGTGCTTGCAGAGATTCCAGACACAATGAGAGTTTGTGCATATTATCACAC